TTTCCTCCTCCTCTGCTGTCTCTGCTTCGTACACGCAATCCAACTGTGCTTCATCTCTTCTAGCCACAGATCAGCTGTGTGTTTCTGTGACTTTCTAGGGCTGATACCATCCTGGAAATCATAAGAGAAGTTAATAATCTGTTCTGTGAAACCGATGTTACATTTCTGCTCTGGTTTCAAGACAGACCAAGTATGTCCCATTAAACTCAATGAAAAGTGTAACCAGGTGCCTTGACAGGGCAGGTTAGAAATACAGCTTATTTTTCCCCTCCAGCTCTCCTCAAATACACATAAGGTTTATAGATAATATTTTCCATTAGCCTAAAGCATCTTTTTTAGTATCAAGTGGCTCTCTTGTGACTCTTTATCACTGTCATGTCAAGCTGAAATGTGTGCAGAGCAGAGCAGGAGTGCTTTCTAGCCCACTTTGTATAGATTTAAATGTATATATTATGCAAGGCAGTAGGGGATCAGACTCAGTGGAGTAACTTCAGAAATAATTGAAAGCAGGACTTGTTCCTGGTACTCATAAAATGGCAGCAGTAACTCCTCAAGGTTCACACACAGTTTGAGCTTTTAATATTCTGCTGTGCCATTCTATGGCCAGGAGTGAAAAGTCAGATCCTTTCAGTTCTCTTGTAACTTAGCAGAAAGCTGTAAGGGGTAAATCAGAGATAAAGAGAAGTAATTAACTTTTTCAGAAGTCACTTTCAGCCAGGAGAATTTAAGTCTTGCTTTTGATCTTTCAAATCAACCATGAACCTTGCATTCATTTTATGTTGTATAGTATAATTATATAGAATTACATCTTATAATATAGAAATGGAACTTCACTATAGACAAAATGAAGTGTGGCAAGTGTTTTGGAGACAATACAAAGAAGTAAACATGAAGCATATGAAAAGCTTAATCAATAAGACAACAATTTCAAAATGAAAACACGAGCTGCTAGAGAATCCTGATAAATCACATCAGTTGTGTGGAGCAGCTCTATTGGATTAAATCACAGTGATGAGAAGCAAAACACATCAAACACAAAGAATTAATTCTCTCACTGTCTCAAACATTTATTTCAGTTTGAAGTTGTAGGTTTAGGAACTAATTTCCTATATGAAGACTGAGGAAAGAAGCAGCAGAGACAAATCAGCGTCTCCCCAACCCTCAGGAGAATCATAGAATAGTGAGGGTTGGAAAGGACCTTAAGATCATCCAGCTCCAACCCCCCTGCCATGGGCAGGGACACCTCATGCTAAACCATCTCACCCAAGGCTTCGTCCAGCCTGGTCTTGAACATTGCCGGGGGTGGAGCATTCACAACCTCCCTGGGCAACCCATTCCAGTGCCCCACCACCCTCACAGGAAAGAATTTCCTTCTTGTATCCAGTCTAAACTTCCCATGTTTAAGTTTGAACCCATCACCCCTTGTCCTATCACTCCAGTCCCTAATGAAGAGTCCCTCCCCAGCATCCCTATAGGCCCCCTTCAGATACTGGAAGCTGCTCTGAGGTCTCCACGCAGCTTCTCTTCTCCAGGCTGAACAGCCCCAGCTTTCTCAGCCTGTCTTCATACGGGAGGTGCTCCAGTCCCCTAATCATCCTCATGGCCTCCTCTGGACTTGTTCCAACAGTTCCATGTCCTTTTTATGCTGAGGACACCAGAACTGCACACAATACTCCAAGTGAGGTCTCCCGAGAGGAGAGTAGATGGGCAGGATCACCTCCTTGGACCTGCTGGTCACGCTCCTTTTGGTGCAGCCCAGGATACGGTTGCTTTCTGGGCTGTGAGCGCACACTGAAGCCGCTTCATGTTCATTTTCTCATCAACCAAGACCCCCCAAGTCCTTCTCTGCAGGGCTGCTGTGAGGGAGAGAGGGAAAAGAAAGAAGATAAAACAGGTGATGTGCATGAAACAGAGATGGATGGGAGGATTTACTGTTCTTTACAACTAGCTGTCAGCCCTTTTCCCTTCCTCCCTGCCCTCAGCCCGGATTATTAGGGTGCCTCTGCTCTGTGTCATGTTTGAGATCTCCATGGTTAAAGTGAAGTTCATGGTTCTGTTGGCAATGGTGCAGCTCATGGCGGTATCAGACTTACACTTGTGGGACAACTCTCAAACTGTCACTGTTTGGTTTTTTTTTCTTGCTCTTTCTCCCTTCCCCAAATCCAGCAGGCTCTTTGATAATTATTTTAGGTCCTTAAATATGTGCCCCATTCAATAAATATGTTCCTAATGTCAGTGATTAAGTGCATTAGCAGCTGAAAGAGCCCCTGGCTGTAGGGATTGCAGTGCAGAGCAACCAGAGCCATGTCGCAGGCCTTCAAAATGTCGCACATCTGCCATTGTAAATGAGCCACTATCACTTCTTTAAAACAGCTCTTTTGATCTATTCTAATGCACAAATTACAGTTGTTGTCACATCTTATTACTATCATCTTCTGGAAGCTTGAAATGTTTTGCTCTCTAATATCAAATTCCTAATAATCTACCTGCCTAAGACACAAAGGAGGGAATTGGGTAGAATACTCATTTTTCCTGGAGTTGCTCGATATTCCCTCAGCGGTATTTAATACACTTTGTTACAGTAATGCATTTTAAAACATTCAACGTATATATTTCCAGGGCAAACTATAAATTGTATTTTTCATCTCAAGTCCTCGTAGCACCAGGGAGCAGTGAGCAACCTGATGGACGGGACAGACAATGCGTCATTTAGCTCGCCACAGATCAACAGGACGACCGTGATCCTTTCAGTGGGGTGGGTAAGGGCTGTGCTGTGTGAAAGGGAGGTGTTAGATGCAATCCTGCTCAGTCAGGAGTAAAGGTGTCATGAGAAAAATGGCAGCAAATCCTGGCTGGTGACTGCATCACAGTATCATTCAACAGAGGACAGAGCACCCTGCAAGGGTGAGTGATGTGCAAAACTGGGTTTTGTGGCTTTTTAAACCAAAACAAATACTAATCTCTTGGTTGTTTCAGTCCTTCAGTCTGTCAAATGAACACACGCACACAAAAACCCCAATGTAACATCGAGCTGAAGCTCGATCAGCAGAGGGGCACATTTTACATGGCTCAAAAGTAGAACCTCTATGCCTACAGCAGCTGTGAACAGTCTGTCAAGGACTATTGAACAAAAAAGGCCTTGGAGTAAGTTGCCTGGGCATTCCTTCCATATATTTGGAGGAAAATGCTTAATAAATGGTATATTTGCTTGTACCCCACCAGCACCTGTAGACAGGACATGGTGTGCAGAGGGCTTTGCATCTGCAGGGGGAAAAGTCCATTCAAGGGCCGGGAGTGGAAAGACTGCTGGGAACAGCAAAAAATACCAGTCAATGAGGATTCTCATGTTTGTGTTACAGAGGACATAAATTCCATCTTCCAAATATCATAGACTCCTTCCCCACTTCCGTTCATGAACGTTCTCAATGATTCCCGAGCAGCTGAAGTAAGCTTGGTGAATTCTGTCATGCTTCTTAACTGGAGAGAGTACCTCCTAAGCATTTTTGTTGGCCTTTTAATGTCTGCGCCTGCAAATAGTATGGCTGTAAAATGAATTATAATGATGTGCTAAAATGGAGTAATCTCAGTCATTTTATTAAGCACTTTGTGAAGGAAGTTGAGATTGCTGGTGCTGTATTTTCTTCGAATACGCTCCTTGTCCCTCTGTAGAACATGTGTGCAGCTCCTCAGGAAATGAGGATGCAAACCATATGGCCTGGGATGCCAGAGTGCATTTTCCGTGATAACACAGACTTGTTACAGCAGTGTCTCCCAAAACACTAAGGGAATCATCTATAGTTGTGTTGTATGCTATTTTTCATATTAAAATGATCTGTCAGTAACTCCAGTGATGAAGTGATGAAGCGGTTTCACCCTGTTGTCTTTATTCCCTGTTCACATATTCCTTCTTATGGCTCCCAAAGAAAAGGCTGTTTCTTTTGAGATGCAGTTTGATACTTTGGTTAAGCTCATGTGATTTTACTTGTGTGTATTTTTCTCTGTAATTAACTGTAAGACAGTTACTTTCAGCAAGAGTTTTTTACAGACAGAAATGTTAATACCTAAATGTGGGGATGAACAGGTTTTCTCTTTGAAATTCCGTGTGTGTGTGTGTGTGTGTGTGTCACAGTGTAACAAGAAGCCACGTTTTTAGGAATATTTAGTCCTGTGGTTCTGCAGGATCTATTATTTTTGTTATTCATTAACTGAATTGCAGGTTCTTTGGGAGAAGATTGGTTTTGAGCAGTTATTTCCTGAGCAGGGGTCACAAGGCACATCTGGAAGGTGTTGGGACACAGGGAGTGGAGCAGATGCAGTAAAGGGTCTTGGACTGAGAGCAGGACATGGATAACTGGTATTTCTTCTGCCATGGCTAAGGCAGGCAATTTGATGGTAGCTTTGCTCCATAGTTGATGGCAACCCAAAAATGCGCTTACTCAGGCCCAGTGTTTATTGATTCCTTTGATGTAATAACTTGGTAATGATCCTTATTAAGGACATCTCTGGCAAACAGGTGTTTAAAATCTAGCACAAAGTTATTTTATTAGCACTGAATTCTCAGACACAGAGATGAGTACTGCTTTCTTCTTTTTTCCTTACAGGAATTTGAATTCTGTTTTCTCCTCAGTTTTGAAATCAGTTTGGTACCACAGGGATAAATGCACATATTGCATTACAGGCCAGTGTGATGTAGGCTGACACCAGGATAATGAGCAGATATTTACAGTTACCTTTGGATCTGTGCAAAGCTACTTTGCTTCCATTGCTTTTCAGTTTTGTAAGCACTATTCAGTCAGTTACAATTGTGTGTAAAATCAAAGTGGAAACCACAGAATCAATACCTTAGAAACAAACAACATCTAGAAATCCCTGAGCCTGGAAGATCCTAAAAGAAGGAAAAGACACTTCTCCATATTCATGAGGTTTTACAGAAATGAATGTCAGAGTGATGAGAAGTATATCTGAGTGTAAAATGCCCGTGTTCATTAATCTCTTTTCAGGGCAGCACGTCAGCTTATCAGCCTTCTGGGAGCACAATTAAAGAGAGAAGATGTTCTGTCTTCGAAGCCATCAGTGGCTCCTCTTTGGTCTTGAGCAAGACAGATGCTGCTCAGGTAGGGTTCATCAGGCAATCATATTTAGAGCTCTGTCAGGTCCATGATAAGTAGGAAAAAATGATAAGATTGGGGGTGTTTATTCACTCTCTCTGAGGGAGGTATGTTCTGGTTTATTTCTTGATTAAAAACCCTCCCATCCAAACTGTCATCTGAAGAGTTTAACTTTGCTGTAGACTTTTGGACCATATTGGCAGTTCCAGGACTGGAGGGTCATCTGAGGTTAAAAATAAACCCAAACCACCAAACTAAAAAGGTAATTCCCAGCAATCTGCTGAAATTTATTAGAGTTCTTGTGATAACAGGGCCATCGGCTGCTGCTCTGGGTGCCATGGAAACAGGCATCGCTGCAAACAGGGAAGGTGGCTTTCCTCTCATTCCTGTTTCAGAAAGAGAAAATAAGCTTTTGTGAGATGACTCGTTTAAAGGACTTTGCCCCTGTCTTGCCAGTGCATGTGGTCATTGCCCTGGCAGAGGGACTGAGAGGTGTCTGCAAGAGGGGGAGTGCTGGCAGTACTCTTTTGGGGGATTTTCTGGGTTTTGGGCTCTTAATTTATGAGAGAGTTATCAAGTACTAGAGGGAGAGGTATCTTTAAGTGTTAATCTTGTCAGAGGGTGCTCTTGTGGCTGATGTAATGCATTGGAGTTAAGGAAATCTGACTTAGATGCCTCAGTTAGCAGAGAGCTGTTCCAAGGCTCTGCTCTGCTCTTCACCCTCCGCAGCTCCACCAAGCTGTTGGTGCCACGGTATGTCTGTGGCTCACGGGGACACTGCTCTGGTGGCAAGTGACCTGCATCTTGCAGAGAAGGTTACTGCTTTGAACCTTCAGACTTCCTCTGCAGCTCCTCCTCCGGGGTTGCTTAGAGCATGTGCAAACAAGGATGTTTAGAACCTGTACTGTAAACACTGACAGACAACTCTGAAGGCCTTTCAGGCTTGTGAACTAAAAATACAATAGCTATACAATGGTACCATTATTGCTAATCATAAACAAATAGGCAAATATGAAATCAAACATGCTTAGAGAGGTGTTTATCATCTATTCATGCCTCTACTAGCGGCAGACATTTGTGTATTCCCATTCACACTGCATGAGCAAACAGGCAGGTTAATGCATCTTGGAGTATGTTTGGTCCTACTTCATAGCCTGTTTGACAATGCTGGCAAATACAAAGCTATACCTATTTGTGGTAGGGAATAATGCAGACATTAGGAGTGGTTCAGATATCCTTCACCTTTTTACCTTCACTGAGATTTTCAGCTGTGTGGAACCTTGTTACATGATATGGCTATTTATACAGCTGAGCTAGTACAGAGTGAAATGTAAGGAAGAATTCCTTAATTCTGCCATGGTACTTTGTCCGTGATGCAGCTTCAGCTGCAGTTTGGGCCTCTTGGATCTACACATCTTGGGCCAAACCAGTCAGTTCCTAATGATCTTGTATAGGCAATGGGGAGAAGGAAGGAAAGCATTTCAACAGGTACTGATTAATTGTGCTTCTGCAGAACTGCTGGTTATTTTAACAGTGCTAAGGTGTAACAACCTGAGCACAGGCTTGGTAGTGCACCAGAAGACCTGAATGGAAGATGCTTATGCTATAATTATTATTATTACTTCTTAATTTTAAAATAGCTAAAATGCATTGGGAGATCTCCAGAGAATTAGTTTCTTCAATGTCCCAGTTGTTTGTGCTCTAGCTGATGTCTAGACTGATGCAGCCAGGCTTAGCCAGGAGGCCAAGAAGATGCTCATCACCCTAGAGGGGGAGGGAGAGAAAAACCCCGACATCACTGTGAACTCTTGCATTTGTTTCTGTTTCAGATAGGCCAAATTTTAACCCTTTTTTATGTGTTTCAGTGCTAGCCCCCTCTTCTTAATAAAACGTAGAATAGAATCATAAGGAGTAATTTCTCACTCCAAAAATTATTGATAGGAATCAGCACAAAGGTTTTACATTTGAAGCATGGCTGTGCAGCAGCAGGATTTAGAGAGCATTTGCTGGAATTGTCATAGAGATCCTGAGATTGCTGCAATAAATGTCTAAGAATCCACGCAATAATTTAAGTGGTGAGCTTCATACCTCAAATGTAACAGCTGGAGGTTTCCATTTGAGGCTTCTTCTGCCTGCTTTGCTGAGTGGGAGGCAGGCTTCTTCCCCTCCAAACTCAGAGAACCCTATTAGATTAATGTGAGATTTTTGGTAAGACCTTACACGAGAAGAGTAATCTTAAGATACTGTGAAGTTGATAACGATTACATTTATATCAGATCTATGACAAATTCACATTTCTCTCTAAACTGCACATGTATTATTTATTCTTCATGTTATTCAGTAATACAGTAATTTGTTTTGCTTAAACTGATGCTTTTCCAATTTCTTTATGCTCGACTCTATTGTTTCTGTGCTTAAGTGAAGATGAAGCCAAGGAGATAGTCTGCAGCAATACACCATTGCATTAGAACCATAGAATAGTCACGGTTGGAAAGGACCTTAAGATCATCCAGTTCCAATCCCCCTGCTATGGGCAGGGACACCTCACACTAAACCATGTTACCCAAGGCTCTGTGAAACCTGTCCTTGAACACCACCAGGGATGGAGCATTTGCAGCTTCCTTGGGCACCCCATTCCAGTGCCTCACCACCCTTACAGGAAAGAATTTCCTCCTTATATCCAATCTAAACTTCCCCAGTTTTAATCCATTACCCCTTGTCCTATCACTAGAGTCCCCAACGAAGAGTTCCCCCCCAGCATCCCTATAGGCTCCCTTTGAGATACTGGAAGCTGCTATGAGGTCTCCACACAGCTTCTCCTTTCCAGGCTGAACAGCCCCAACTTTTTCAGCCTGTCTTCATACAGGAGGTGCTCCAGTCCCTGATCATCCTTGTGGCCTCCTCTGGACTTGTTCTAACTGTTCCATGTCCTTTTTATGCTGAGGACACCAGAACTGCACACAGTGCTCCAAGTGAGGTCTCCTGAGAGGAGAGCAGAGGGGCAGGATCACCTCCTTCGCCCTGCTGGTCACGCTCCTTTGGATGCAGCCCAGGATACGGTTGCTTTCTGGGCTGCGAGTGCACACTGAAGCCGCCTCATGTTCATTTTCTCATCAACCAACACCCCCAAGTCCTTCTCCACAGGGCTGCTCTGAATCTCTTCTTGCCCAACCTGTAGCTGTGCCTGGGATTGCTCCGACCCAGGTGTAGGACCTTGTACTTGGCATGGTTAAACTTCATGAGGTTGGCATCAGCCCACCTCACAACCGTGTCAAGGTCCCTCTGGATGGCATTCCTTCCCTCCAGGGTATCAACTGAACCACACAGCTCGGTGTCATCGGCAAACTTGCTGAGGGCGCACTCAATCCCACTCTCTGTGTCAGCAATGAAGATGTTGAACAAGACCGGTCCCAACACCGATCCCTGAGGGACCCCACTCGTTACTGGTCTCCAGCCGGACATTGAGCCATTGACCACAACTCTTTGTGTGCAGCCATCCAGCCAGTTCTTTATCCACCAAGTGGTCCATCCATCAAATTGATGTCTCTCCAATTTAGAGACAAGGATGTCGTGTGGGACAGTGTCGAACGCTTTGCACAAGTCCAGGGAGATGACATCAACTGCTCTACCCCTGTCCATCAGTTCTGTAGCCCCATCATAGAAGGCCACCAAATTGGTCAGGCAGGATTTCCCCTTAGTGAAGCCATGCTGGCTGTCACCAAGCACCTTGTTGATTTTCATGTGCCTTAGCATGGCATCCAGGAGAATCTGCTCCAAGATTTTGGCAGGCACAGAGGTGAGACTGACTGCTCTGTAATTCCCCGGGTCATCCATTTTCCCCTTCTGGAAAATGGGGGTTATATTTCCCTTTTTCCAGTCATCGGGAACTTCACCTGACTGCCAGGATTTCTCAAATATGATGGCCAGTGGGCCAGTGGCTTCACAACTTAATTTGCCAGCTCCTTCAGGACCCAAGGATGGATTTCATCAGGAGCCATGGACTTGTGCACATTCAGATTTTTAAGATGATCTCGAACCAGTTCCTCTCCTACAGTGGGCACAAGGTCTTCACTCCCACAGTCCCTGCGTCTGCCTTCCAAGACTTGGGTGGTGTGGTCAGAGCCTTTGCCAGTGAAGACCGAGACAAAGAAGTCATTCAGAACCTCAGCCTTCTCCAAATCCTGTGTAGCCAGTTCTCCTGAGAGCTTCCTGAGGGAGCCTACATTCTCCCTAGACTGTCTTTTATTTGCTACATACCTGTAGAATCCCTTCCTGTTATCGTTCACATCCCTAGCCAAGTTTAATTCTAATTGGACCTTGGCTTTCCTAACCTGGTCCCTGGCTTCCCGGGCAACATCCCTGTACTCTTCCCATGCCACCTGTCCTTGCTTCCACCTTTTATAAGCCTCTTCTTTCATTTGAATTTTCCTCAGGAGCTCCTTATCCATCCAAGGAGGTCTCCCGGCCCTGCTGCTGCACTTCCTTCTGGCTGGGACAGAAAACTCCCGATCTTGTAGCATGCGATCCTTGAATTATCAACCAACAGTTTTGGGGCCCCTCTACCCTCTAGGGCTGTATCCCATGGAACCTTCCAAAGCAGGTTCCTGAAGAGGCCAAAGTCTGCTCTTTTGAAGTCCAGGGCAGTGAGCTTGCTGCACGCTCTTCTCACTGTCCCGAGGATCTCAGACTCGACCATCTCGTGATCGCTGCATCCAAGGCTGCCCTGGAGCGTCACGTTTCCAACGAGCCCTTCCCTGTTGGTGAGCACGAGGTCAAGCACGGCACCTCTCCTTGTCGGCTCCTCTGTTACTTGCAGAAGGAAGTTGTCTTCCACACAATCGAGGAACCTCCTGGATTGTTTGTGCCAGGCCATACCATTGTTCCAACAGATGTCAGGGTGGTTGAAGTCCCTCATGAGAACAAGGGCCTGTGAGAGTGAGGCCTTTCCTATCTGTCTATAGAGCACTTCATCCACAGAGTCCTCTTGATTAGGTGGTCTGTAACAGATCCCCACAGTAATGTCTCCCATTGCTGTTCTCCCTTTAACCCTGACCCACAAGCTCTCTGTTGACTGCTCACGTGTCCCCAGATGGAGTTCCATACTCTCCAGCCTATTTCTAACATAAATAGCAACTCCCCCTCCCCATCTGATGGTGTTTTCTAAAGACCCTGTAGCCTTCCATTCCAACAATCCAGTCATAGGAGCCATCCCACCACGTTTCTGTGAGAAAATTCTCTGCTTTATCCATTTATATCTGTTTT